ATTTTTCTTCTTCATGTTCTAGGTTTGCCTTGCTATCGCCCACTACTCCCACCCAGCGGATCTTCAACTGCTGTTTGGCTTTGAGTATCAAGGACGGCGATACCATGAATCTAAAGGTGATCACATGACCCGATTCCATCATTTCCAAAAGATCCAACATATAATAAAGTGTTGTCTGTTCTGTAGATTCCAGACATATTAATTCCAAATTTGACCATCAATGTTTCTTGCACAAGAAAATAAATTGCATCTGTATTTCCAGGGGAGCGAGTCAATGGGTCCACCCCAAGAGGAGGCATGCAGACCCCCATCTTTGACCGTCCGTCCGACTGGGATCGGGAGATCAAGAGAACGGGCGCCTCAGAGTGGAGGGTGTGCTCCGTCAATGAAAGCTACGCCGTCTCACCAAGGTCTCAGCTCATACTGTTTGTTGTAGGCATAGCACGATTGTACTTCCTGCAGTCGGCCTTAGTTGTTGTAGCTTTAAATATTTTTAACTAGATGCTGCATTTACACGATGTGCCCTTTTTGCCCATTTATTGAATTTAACAGAAAGCTCTGTGCAACACGCGTGTCCGTTCGGTACAATACATGCTATTCATCTGAGTTCAGCGGTGACATCATGGTGGGTTTCAAAGTGAGGATTGTAATTTGCAAGAAGACTCATAATTGCATAATAGTAGCCTGTACTAAACTGTACACACCACATGGGGCTGAAACAATACTTACGGTACGCTCTGATTCATTTTTTTTTTCCCTCAATCAACACAAAAACATCGCTGCTAAAGGTACTGAGCTTAGATAATTACTGAAAAACATTTTCGGCAAAACCATTCCAGCGCTAACACGTAATTTACAGGCGGCCAAGAATTTTTGTGCTTTTCAATATTGTGGAATGTGAGCATGTAGCAAAACAATTAGCATGTTTGAATGTAAAAGATAGCCTCGGTATGTAATATAATATAATATACAGCCTGAATGTCTGTTTTCTGCAGTTTTCTGTCTGTAAAATTGGATCTTTTCTCACATGTAATGTCCTTGTTGTGGTTTTAGGATGTCTTGTGTTTGATTCATGTGTAACACCAATCTTTTTCTGAACTTTTTTTTTTTTTTTAGCCTTCCAGAGTACATCGTGGTCCCAGTTTCTCTGGCAGATCAAGATCTAAAGCAATTCTCAACATTCTTCACTGATAGACGCATCCCGGTGAGTATCTAAGCTCTCATGTCTCCGTTAAATGCGTGCTGTTTGGCAAGACTTCATTTATCCATTTCAGCTGCTTATTATGAGCAAATTTAAGGACCACCAAGTGATTCATTTTTAAATCCAAGTACCGTCAAATGTAATTGATCAGAGCATCCCACTTGTCTTACTGATCAGTGTCTAATCTGTGTGTTTTTGTAGCTGTGGTGCTGGAATCACCCCAATGGGAGCGCTCTTGTCCGCATGGCCTGCGTAGTTGATCCCATACAGCAGAGGAAGATTGAACAGAGGTAACATGTCTAATCCCTTCAGGTTGACAACATAAATGTGCTGTCGCTAGTATCTCTTTCAGTGGCAGCCAGCAGCAGCAGGAAAGTGATGAGATTTGTCATACTTCGATACAACTTCAAACATTGGTTTTTAGTCCAGGTTTTCGGCAGCTGAAGTGTTTATGGTGGCGAACTGATTCTCATCACCAGCGTCTGTTTTGTGTTGTTGCAGGATCTTTACTGCCATCACAAAAAGCCACCCACAGCGCAGTGAAGTCATCAGGTCAGAGCTGGACAAGTGTCTGCCTAATATCCAGGACATCCAGAGCGCCTTCGTTAAAGTCAGGCAGATCTGCGTCCTCGGTGAGCTCCACCGCACTCGCACTTTTAACAGCAGCAGCAGAAAACGATTGCAAGTGTCCAGCTTCTGTGGGAATGTTTGGGATTTCCTGACGTTAGTGTGAACAGTTTTCTAGGTGTACAAGTGTTTGACTGTTTGATTCTGCAGATCCGTTTGAGGAGTCTGAGGAGAGGTGGCTTTCTTCCATCGACAACTCCCGATGGCTGGAGTACGTCAGGTATGTAAGCAAACCGACAGCAAGCCATCAGTGTTGTGGTCGTGTTTGAAGGTGTTTAAATTCAAATGTCATGCAAGCCATCGAGATGTTTGTGTTACCTTCACAGCTCCGTCTGGAGTATAACATACCTGCAGCAACATTTGTCTTGTTTCTGATTGAGTTATGTGGGTCAAATTACAGCCTATGCTTGTTTCCGAGATGTTTCTATGGAGTTTCATTGTATGAGCATAATCCTTCTATGTTTTCAGTGTAAACATGAACTTATGAGATGAGTTGCTTGTTTACACATCATCGTTAATCCAGCTTGTTTTTGTTTTTTTTGTTTTTTTAATCCAATGTTACCTGGCCAGAAATCAGGACAATGAACCTTTCACATAGTTTATACCCACATAAAGTTATGATTACTAAGCTGGCGATTTATTTTAGAATGTAGTAATACAAGTTTTAAAAGCCAGTGAGCCGGTATGTTGCAGCGAGCTAGTCAGTTAACATGTGTGTTGTTCTTGTGACCAAAGGGCCTTTCTGAAGCACGCAGCCGACATAGTGTACTACATGGAAGGAAAGAACGTCTCCGTCATTCTCCAAGGTACGCTCTCTCTTCATCGGTCATGAAGCCACAGCAATCTGCTGTCTTCACTCATGCATGCTGCATATTGAAATTAACTTTTGTTTTACTGATCCACTGTGTTACAGCAGATTGTGGCTTCAGATACATGTTGTATACCAGCCAAAGTACATTAACAAAATACTGTGGTCACATAAGATTCAGTAATGTATTACTGCTGGTTTTATTGATCTGACTAAGACTGAAAATATGTATTTATTTGATTACTTATTTACTTACTGCTTACCTACCTACCTGCCTATTTATTTATTTACTTATTTACTTACTGACTTAATTACTTACTGACTACTTGACTTACAGACTGACTTACTTACTGACTTATTGACTTATTTATTTACTTACTGACTTACATACTTACGGACTTACTTACTGACTTACTTACTGACCAATTTATTTACTTAATTACTTACTAACTTACTTACTGACTAACTGACTTATTTACTTACTCGCTTACTTACTTACTGACTTACCTACTGTCTTACTTATTGACTTATTTACTTACTTGCTGACTGACTGACTTACTTACTTATTTAGCAAAATGCACATTTAAGACTGGTATTTCTTGTTCTGCACCATACAGAGGAAGAAGACCGAGACCTAAACTGTGTGGTGTCCTCACTGGTGCAGCTCATGTTGGACCCTCACTATCGCAGCCTCATTGGCTTTCAGAGTTTGGTGCAGAAGGAGTGGGTGATGGCTGGCCATCGCTTCTTGGACAGATGCAACCACTTAAAGAAAAATTACAAAGAGGAGGTATATGTCTAATTTAAACTGATCCAGTCACAGAAGAGCTGAACTTTTTCATTTCCTGAGACGCTCCTGCTTATTAACGACTCCTTCTTTCCGTTCTCTTCATGAAGTCCCCACTGTTCATGCTGTTCCTGGACTGCGTGTGGCAGATGATGAACCAGTACCCAGCGACGTTTGAGTTCACAGAGGCCTACCTGACGGTGCTGAGTGACAGCATGTGGATCCCACTGTTCAGTACTTTCCTCTTCAGTTCTTCCAAACAACGCGCTCAGCACTTGATGGTAAGGCATCGGTACATACATGACTGTTTATTCATTTATCCAACAAGAATATAAAGCAAATTCTGCTCAAGTGATAGTGTGTGACAAGGCATCATTTTTTTATGTGGTGTCATTTCATGTCAGAAATTCTAGTTTCCCTCTGTGTGTGCCAGACATTTGACTAGAAAGAATGCAACACACTGCACAAAGACAAGATAATGTTTAACTTGTGGTCAGGAACCTGTAAACCATTAAATTTGATTAAAAAAAAAAACGCATTATGGCAGCTCACACTTACCTTCATGGATTGTTGTGTCAAGTCTTTTTTTCATAGTTTTTAGAAATGTTCATTACGTTACAGAATAACATTGTCTTTGCTTTATAGGACTTTGCCAAGAACAAAGCCATCCCTCAAGGAGAAGACCAGGTCGTGTATTTCCCTCCTGTCTGGGAGTGGTCACAGCAGTTCTCCATCAAAGATCAAACCCTCTTTAACAACCCCATGTATGTGGGCAAAGGAGCTGCCTGTGTTCAGAACGGAGAGGTGAAAACCTTCAGACGCACAAAGGTATGTACGACAGTGAGCTTTACAAGTTGTTAGGAGTAGAATCAGCACATTGTTGTGCGTATATGGTCTCTTCTTTTACTGCTTGTGATGTGTGTAATGGTTATCAGCTGCTAGTGAAAGGCATGAGGTGGTTAGTCATTCTTCTTTATGGACATCCACCTTGTTAGAAATGCAATTGAGAACATAAAAAGAGTGCACTGTGACCTTCCAGCCTGCTCCTACTGTCTGCTACTGAGAGGTTTTTTTTTGGTATGTCAAGTTAAAATGATTGGATCCGTTATGCTTCCTCCAGCAGAAAACCTACAGTTCTACACTGCGTGGAACCGCCACACTCATGCGTAATGGACTCAAGGAGGGAGAGGAAACCCTGGTCCGACGGGGCTCTCTGATGTCAGAGCTGAAGTCTGATTTCTCGGCAGTGAAAGACGAAAGCCCGTCAGAGCGCTTCTTCAGGGACTGGTTCTCTCGACCGGCTGACCAGCAGGGCCTCCTGATACCCCTGTCCATGCCCTCACATGTGGCCCTCTGGAAGCTCTTCTTTCTACGCTGGGTGCCCGAAGCCTGCATTACCAGAGGAGGCTCCATCACCGCCTACCACAAGCTCTCCCAGCTGGTCGATGAGATCGAGATACTGCAGAGCCAGCTCAGGCAGTACAAGGGACCCAGTCCGGGCAACACACCACTCCCAAGCCCTAGTGGCCCCCCTTCAGACCAAAGGAGGATGTATTTTAAGGCTAGTTCCCCAGACGACCCCCCTACCCCTCCAGACTTCCTCACCTCCTCCTTTCCTTTCACCCCCTCTGGAAACCTGTGCCGCCGCAGTGTCTATGGGACTCCCATCAGCAAGTTTCTGAACGGGGCGAGGATCTGGCTCTCGACAGAGACTCTTGCTAATGACACTGTGTGAGGATGTGGGGCTTTGAGGCTCACGTTTCTGAGCCTAGTACAGGCTTTTGTAGTAACTAATCATATTATTTTCTATTACCTCTTTCTTAAATACCAACAAGGAAACTGAGAAATAGAAAAACATGCCATTTTGGACTTCTGATTTTAAATTATTTATAAGCTAGAATTTGCACCATTGATGCTGCATCAAAATCTGAGGTGATTTCTAAATTCAAGTGTCATCTGTAGGACTGAATCATTGTTGTCCATTATAGCTGAGGAATTCAGATTCTTTCAAGCACATCCTTCTTGTTGGCCAGTGAGCTGTTACTGTGAGGTCTCCTGTGACTGTGAAAGATCTTCATTTTTACGATAGATGTATTTTCTTGTCTTCTTCATCTTAGGTCTTTCTCAGGCTATGCTAACTGCTCTCTTTTGCTGAGCTTACTGTATGATACGTCCCGCACAAAGAGTGCTTTTTGATATTTTACCAGAGAGTTTAGATGCAGTTGAATGTTCTTTCACTGCATGTTTGAAAGCAATAATTGAAATTGAACTATGACAAGTATGTGTTTAGTCATTGGTCAGACAGACTTCTCCGCTGAAATGGAATAATGATATTTAGAAATAGGAAATGCCCATTTTTATTGCAGCAACAATGATGCATTTCACTAAACACTGATTTCTAAGTACTCCTTTTGTTTGTGGCTTCCAGGAAATTTAAACAAGGATGTAATTTTTTAATATTTCAGAAAGAGGAACAGAAAATAACACTGCTAACAAGTATTCTATTATGTGGTTAAAACAAAAAAAACATCTGGCCTGGTTGAATGTAATGGGGTGTGTGCGCGTGTTGGTTTTTTTTTTTTTTTGCACAGACTTACTGCTGTTTGCTACAAGTGCCCATATTTCAATGGTTGTTTTGGGGTTTTGCTATAGGTAGCAAATGGTGTGATTTCAGGGTCTAACTTTGTAGATTTCCTCTATTTTTGAAGCAGCAATAAGGGCTTATATTTTAGTATAATAATGCATGTGATGCGGAGGGGAGGTGGAGCTGTGAGGATTTCAATCTGTGGTAGATATTTCCCCTTCTCTTTTGAAGGGGGGTTGAATTAAAGTTTTATAGAGGCCTTCTGGTAAGGCACTGAGAAGAAACTGTTCAGTAGATGAATGGCGAAACAATTTGAAACTAAAGGGACAGACAAATGTGTTTGACTCAAACCAGTCCCTAGTTTAGTGTGTGTCGGTAAGTCAGTCATATTTCCAGTTACTGATCCAGTGAGGGTGGCGCAGTTTCACAAGAAAGATATTAGCAATAAGTCACATGGATACCAAGTTCAATAAATGCACAATGTTTGTAATTTTGACATCTCAGAGTGACAGGAGGATGTCTGCTCTTGACAGTCTTGAAAGTCAGAAAGCAATAACTGTATACACTGTTTAACATACTGTATGTGTTGTTTCTCTTCATAATTCTGCTCTGCATCGACAAATGATTATAACCAACAGGAACTGAAGTTACTGTAATTACAGTTAGGATGCTAATAGTGAGGTTCATGCACAAAGATTGATGCAATTAAGGAAATTTCTTGGGAGATGTAGGAACATGTACACCCCTTAAAATGTCTCCTTGGGGAGTTTATCACCAGCTGAACTAGGGACTGGTTGGAGACGCATCTGGGCACATGGATCAGTTGAATTATCACTGTGTAATAACTTAAAATGACAACACAGCAGTAATTATCAAACCCTTTGTAAATCAAAGTATAAGACCACTGGACAGATTTCATGTCTGTCCTACAAAGGAGCGTTGATCCTGGATTCCTAGACTGACCAGTTTCCAATAATATACATTGAGCTCATGATTCTTTGGCAATAACTAGATCAGGTGTTACTAAGTGTAGTGTATAATGTGAGTGCAAGCCTGCTCTCCCAAATGCTATTAATTGCACATTTTACTCCGTATATAGGATAGATTGTTTCAAGGCAGTTGAATATAATTTTGGCAAATATTATAAATACTGTATATGCTTGAAATCTTCCAATTAATATTTTTTTGATTAATGGTACTAAATAACTTTTATCCTTGATTTAGTCTTTATATTTTATGGAGAGATATTTATATGCTGTTTTCCACTAATTCACGATGTTGCACTCTGCTGTAATTGTATGATGACCGTGTGTCCGTGCGGCACAGTTTGATTTTGATTCGCAGCAGATGTATTTATTCAGTTATGCAAATGTTCTCTAAGAGCGATGCAGCTGCTACTGCGCATCCTCTGTGCCTTTTTTGGGAAGTTTGACCATTTTTGTAACTATATTCTAAATCTGTTGACTTTATTGTAGTTTTCTAAAGCTGATGATTTTTACCAATTCTGTAAATCTAGTTAAATTCAAAGGTACTGCACTGAAGCTGTTTTTTTCCTAACAGAGAATAAGGCTCAATTGTGTACCAGTAACCAATCATTACATTAGTTTTCAAATGGAACTGTGTTCTGGCTTTTATTTCACTGGCATCTGACTCATGACAATAACACATCATATTTCAAGTCATCACATTGTTTTTGTTTTGATGGGACAATATACAAGGTTGTTACCTGCTACGTTTCATTGCACATTTTGTACAATAGTCAGTGAATATATGTATGGATCCTGTTTACCAAGAACGGTTAGGGTTAGGGAAGTTTGCATGTTCTCCCCGTGCAGCGTGGGTTCTCTCCGGGTTCTCTGGCTTCCTCC